ACCCTCTCAGACTGTGGATTTCCAACCGTCCCCATGAAGGACCATTTGTTTTGCTCAAGTACTGCACTGACAACATTGAACATAAAAATTTAAGTAAAGCTTTAAAGTGACAGTTTTACGACGTGGGGAACTTTCTCTGAAAACATTTAGACATCACAGGAGGTCACTCGTGCTGGGTTTTCTCTGCCTTTCTGTGGGCACTTGACCCAGTTTTCTAGTCCCAAACTTCTCATTTGAGAGTTAGCAAGCTGCCATGTGAATAAGGCATAGACCTACTTTTGTATTCTCTTTCAAGAACATGACTGAACTTCAGATTGTATTATATAGAATCGGTGATATCATTAAAACAGGCGTAAATTCAAACAGATATCAATAAATGAGTCTTTTTTTCTAATTTCCCGTGATGCAATCTGTATGTGTCAGCCAGATCCACATATGAGCCCGACTCCATGCAGGACTGAGAAACCTCTACACTAGAGGCTCTTGTTGTCATTCAATTTGAATTTTTATTGCCCCCCAGCTGCTTCATGTCGGTCATGTGTCATTTTTAAAGCAGCACAAATGAGAAAAGATGCATCACGGCATGTAACTGATACCACATGTTATGATTCTGCATTTAAATGCTCCCTCAGCAGCACAATCACCATCTCTGCTCTCATATAAACACGATCTTCTTCTATCACCTATCACTTTACAAATGAGGTATTTTATATTTTTGGTCAAAGCTCTCTCTCTCTCTCTCTCTCTTTCTCTCTCTCTCTCATACACACACTTGCACAGCTCGGTCCTTTGGTGTCCATCTTTAATAACCAGTGATTAATGATTAGCTGGTTGGCCATGTGAAAATTCCTCCCTTATCAACTGAGCGGAGCAGACCAGAACTAACAGTCCGACACTGTTGTACTGTAGCCATAAACTCTGTCTTTTTCAGTTTCACAGGCGGGTTAAGTTGATAGGATGAAAGGCACAGAACATGTTTTCGCCCTCAGTTTACTGATCCTTAAATAGTGGAACAGGTAACATCAAGCGGTATGCAGCTTGCCAGTACAATTATTTGTCTTTGTGCAAATTTTACCTCATGAAAATCACCAGCTGCAGGTTGTAGTTGGCCCACTTTCTGATTTATCTTTAAATTAGTATTTATCCACAAGACAGCAAGAGCTCCTCCCTGTCTTGTCTCATGGAATAGTTCACCCAGACTGTATGAAAACAGTCGACATCCATTTGTCATTAGAAGCTCAGCTAAAGTTTGTATGGGGGCCCCTTCTCAAACTAAATTAACCGAGACATCCTTTAACAGCTCCAAGAAAAGGAAAAGATGTCCATCATATTTTCCCCAAACAGCTTGTGTAGCATAATACACAAGCTGTGTACAAACTGTTGCACCATGCTCAATATTTACCTCATTATTGCCTTTATTTTCCTCCTGTGGAACTACTACTTGCTGATAGGTGATACCAGAATGTTGCTGGGGAGCAAAAAACAGGAGGTAATGAGGCAAATATTAGACATGTGGACCCACTACACAGTCATTTGGCTATGAAGCACTTGGTTTATGCTGCACAAGATGTTTGGGGAATTCTGCTGGAAATTAAAGGAGCATACCAGTGTGTTTTCAAGTATCAGCTTTTTCACTACAAATCACATTCACTTTACATTTATGCTGACCTGACAGATGCATTTTTTTGGTTGTATTTTTCCTGCTGTTCCAGTCAGCCAGTGGTCTCTGTTCAGTGCTTTGTGGAATGACAATGTATACGCAGAGTATGGAAACATTTATCTATCCTTCGTAACTGTAATTGTAAATATTACAATATATAATGCCTGGAAGAATTTTGTAATACCATTTCAGACACCCCTAAAGTGGACCATACCATTTCTTAACCTTGACCTTAGTTAACTGTCTGGTCTGCTTGCCTCTACTCCAGTGTTTCTCAAACTTTTCTCAAACCATGGGCCACTTAACTAAAATAAAGCTCACAAACCACCTAACTCCTCGAACATCCCAAAAGCCAATAGGGCCTACTACTTTAATAGTATTGTGGTGAGCATGCGCAGTAGAATGTCACCTGGGACAGAATTTTTTTTACCTGTTTTCAAGAATATTGATGCCTTTATTTGTTGGGACAGTAAAGAGAGACAAGAGTGTGGGGATTGGAGAGTAGCATGCTGGAGTCATACAATAGTCACATAAGAATAGGCAGGAACACTGACAGGATGTCACTAAAAGCGGGAAGTCTCAGTCCTAGTGACTTCATTACTATTAAACACTTGTGTCGGAGGTTTCATTTGATTTGCTGAGTCCATGATCTTGTCCATTGTCATTGTTTGATACTTAAAGTCTGCTATTAACTGGTAACATTTACCTGAGGCAGGCTGACCATAAGCTTCATCCACATTTGCTCTCAAATGTCATGCAAATCATTTTTGAAATAAATCATAGAACATAAAACTTTAACTTTAAACTGACTAGCCACATGAGTAGACATAATAATGTTTTAAATTACACAAGAATTGATTTAATATTGTAAGATGAGATTTATTCTTGTGAGGACATATTCAACAGATTGCCTTATTTTGCATTGTTCATTATTTTGAGTCCACATAATTTAATTATTTGTAACTACATTTATAAATATTGTATTCTGCTGTTTAAGTTTAATCTGGAACTATATAATATGGCGCACTTTAGTGGCAGGTAATGTGAGTTATGATTAGGAGTGGCGGAGTGATATGTAAGAGGTGAGATGTCACTTTGGTAGTCAGTGTTCGGTTTTCCTAGGTTTTGCTCTCCGGGAATTAAAAAGTGGATTGACCTGTACAGAGAAGTTGTCCCCGTGCTCTTGCTTTACCCACAGCCCTTCGATAGTTTAATTAAGCAATATGTAAGGCAATAGTTAAGACATCCCAAAACATGTCTTACAATATTGAAAACAACACATATACACTACTTGTTTGTAGGCTTTGAGGTCACTGGCAGACAGTTTGAGAAACACTAAATTTAAAACACATATCCTAACAAATTTACTTGTGGACTACCAAGGTACGACTGGTGGCCCGCGGACCAGTCTTTGAGAATGGGTGCTCTCCTCCCATGTGTGGCTCACGTCCTCAGGGTATGTTCCTACACCTCACGCAAGCTAATTGAGACCCTGTAGGTAAACGTAAGTAGCGGTAACTAACTATCTGTTTAATGCACTTTACTTTCTTATTTTCAGAGTTTCGGAATCATTATTGTGTCTGCGGATGAAAGCTAACGTTAGCTCGTTTCTAACTTTAGCCTTAAGTTACAGTTTAGCTAACTAATGTTAGCTAGTTAGCCTTTCATTTTCAGTGTTGGCTTGTCATTTCATTGCCCATATAAAAGACATATATTATCTAATTTTAGCAAACACTGGTGTTCGGTTATGAGCAGTGAGACAAAAGAGAATTGGTAGTTGGTAGATACATTTTGACATCGATATAGAATTTATCGTTTCATGTTAATAGTCTTTTGTGTGGCTGTGGTGGTTTAGTTCGTGTTTTACCTGTTTTGATATTAACTTTTTTAACAGGCACCCCCGTTTTCACTCAGGCAGGCATTAATTCTCTCAATAATTAAAATAAGATAAATCAATTTGATTGAGAATTTCTCCACCAGAATTGTGTTATGATTTATTATATTAGGGTAAAAATAAATGACAAACACATGAGTAAAACCTTCTGTAGGGAATTGGGACTCATCAGCTCACTTTTTTTTGTCCTGGCTACAGCCTTGCACTCATACATTGTCATCTCTCATACAACAATATGGTTTGCAAAGCGTTTAGCTGTGATGTACAAATACACCAAATTTGTAGTAAACTGACTAAAACTTGCATTAATAACTGCCTACGAGTTTAATTTATTTGAGATTCACATACTCTACCCACCCTGTCTGATCGGTATCCGTTTTTTGTGTCAGCGCCACCTACAGAACGTCCTCGGTTAATGAGGTTGTCTTGTACCTTGTACCAGAGTGTTAGGTTGGGTCAGAGAATTTACCAGTATAGCAATAAAACTAAATGGTAGACTATGAGAAGCATCGGTTAATTTTGTTTAAAAATTCATTCGCCCGAACAGGGACTTGAACCCTGGACCCTCAGATTAAAAGTCTGATGCTCTACCGACTGAGCTATCCGGGCTCTGGAAGTACCCAGTAGTGGGTGCTCTACACAAAAATATCATGTAGCGCTCTGGTTGCACAGAAGCATGAAAGAAAACATTTCATCTGTGTCAGGCTGCTCGATTACTTTTCCATCATGGTCAACATTTTACCTCTGTCGCCACCATATAGCGACCCGGCGGGCAGACAGACACATTTTCCCCACTCCAGCTTGTTGTATGTGATTTGTAGCTCTGTCAGAAAAAGCATCTCAACGCGCATCGAGGTCGGCACCCTTCCGGATCACCAACACTGACCCGGACCACTGCGGGTCAGGTTTTCAATTTCCCTGGCAGCAGATTAGGTCAGCACGCGGGGGAGAGACCCGGTGCTGGTCTGTACAGCCCGGGTCCTGTTCAGTCTACTGAGTTAACATTAAGTGGGGTTTGGGCTGTCCAAACTCAGAAGATTATTATTTAATCTTTTGAGCAGATTAGTCGAAGAGGAAGATCAGGAGGAAAAAGCAGCAACATAATGAGTAGAGCCTGCAGTACATGGTAGATATAATAACATTACATAATGAATAGAAAACACATGCATCAAATAAAAGAGGAAACAGTGAAATTTATTATATAAGCACTTAAACAACGGAATAGTCCAATATGAAACCATTTGACTAACCCGGCAAATTATTATATCATTATTATGTTAGGAAAATGTATGTCTCGCTCTTTAGGATTTAGAGATTATAATCTCCTGCCATCTAGCTGTGACACTGCGCAGTACAGGTCTGCTTTATTTTACGTCATGCAATAATAAGGAAGTAGCGGCCAAAAAAGGTAGGTAGATTATTTTAGCGTTGAGTTAGTCTGTTTTTCTACACGTGCTAAATGTCTCATTGAAGACTAACATAAGAAAGTCCTCATGTTAAGTGGCGCCTCCACCGGCTCTGATGTTTTTATCATCTGTGGTTTCTCTTTGTGTTTTGTAAAGGTGCTCCATGGAGACATACTCACTCCTGAGAGTCATCGGTGAAGGATCTTTCGGCCGGGCTTTGTTAGTGCAGTGTAAAAGCAGTCAGGAGAAGTATGTGGTCAAGGAAATCCAGCTGCCAAAGGTTTGTGCAAACACAGCTGTTGATGTGATGTAAATACTGTAGCTTTATCCTCACCCTTTCATCGATATTTCTCTTCGATAAATTCTGATGCTTTTCTTTTCTCATGCTTTTATTGTGAAGCACTAAGTATTTTTTGTTTTAAAAAATGCTATACAAATATATCTGTATTTACCTGTGTGGTGGAACAGGACTTGAACTGTGTCGCGGCAATCCATCAAGTCTTTCTGAGAAAATAATAATCACCATAATAATAAGGTATTAAAATGCTAGATTTCCAGGACTACATATATGGAGAAACCAACCAACACACTACAGAATAGATTTGAATCCAGACTTTTATGTTATTGTCTGGGGTCAGATGTGGAAATGTTATTTGCACTGTGCAGATAACATACCAGATTGCAGCCTGCACAGAAACATGGAGGATGTTTACTTGCATAATAAGAAATACATTCATGCTTGTATTTGCATTTTTATAGAATCGGTCCAAACTGGAGAATTCAAGGAGAGAAGCCATCCTGCTGTCAAGAATGAAACATCCTAATATCGTGGCCTTCAGAGAGGCGTTCGAAGGTATTCACAGAAGTGACCCTCCCTTCAAAACTTATTACAAGACATTTTGGGCCCTTGTGACATACAATTATTATGATTTGGATTGCAAAATAGGCAATGTGATTGTGTTTGTTCAGCTGATGACCTCCTGTGTATTGTTATGGAGTACTGCAATGGAGGAGACCTGCTCCAGAGGATCCGCCAACAGAAAACTACGCAGTTCTGTGTGGATGATGTAGGCCTTGGCTACCTGCCATTATTCTCACATTTTTATGGTACTGTTTTTTTCCGCCCCCCTTTTTTTGAATTTAGCTTAACTGATTTTTTTCCCCAGATCTTGAGGTGGTTTGCTCAAATGTGTGCAGGTGCAAAGCATATCCACGATAAACGGGTTTTGCACAGAGATCTGAAGTCCAAGGTACAGTTGCTTCAAGACTTTATAGTTCTTAATTACTATATACAGTACTGTGCAAAAGTTTTAGGCAGGTGTGAAAAAATGCTGTAAACTACGAATACTTTCACAAATATAAATAATAATTGTTCATTTTTATCAATTTACAAAATGCAAAGTGAGCGAACAAAAGAAAAATCTAAATCAAATCAATATTTGGTGTTACTACCCTTTGCCTTCAAAACAGCATCAATTCTTATAGATACACTTGCACAAAGTCAGGGATTTTGTAGGATTATAGTCAGGTGTATAATCAACCAATTATACCAAACAGGTGCTAATGATCATCAATTTCTCAGTCATTAACTGAACCTAGAAACAGCTGTGTAGGAGGCCTAAAACTGGGTGAGGAACAGCCAAACTCTGCTACCAAGGTGAGGTTGTGGAAGACAGTTTCATACACCATGGCAAGACTGAGCACAGCAACAAGACACAAGGTAGTTATACTGCATCAGCAAGGTCTCTCCCAGACAAAGATTTCAAAGCAGACTGGGGTTTTAAAGATGTGCTGATCAAGCTATTTTGAAGAAGCACAAAGAAACGGGCAATGTTGAGGATCGTAGACGCAGTGGTCGGCCAAGAAAACAAAGTCCTGGAAGTGATGGTATGGCCCCCACAGCGCCCTGATCTCAACATCATGGAGTCTGTCTGGGATTACATGAAGAGACAGAAGGATTTGAGGAAGCCTACATCCACAGAAGATCTGTGGTTAGTTCTCCCAAGATGTTTGGAACAACCTACCAGCCGAGTTCCTTCAAAAACTGTGCAAGTGTACCAAGAAGAATTGATGCTGTTTTGAAGGCAAAGGGTGGTCACACCAAATATTGATTTGATTTAGATTTCTCTTCTGTTCATTCACTGCATTTTGTTAATTGATGAAAATAAACTATTACCACTTCCATTTTTGAAAGCATTCTTAGTTTCAGCATTTTTTTTCACACCTACCTAAAACTTTTGCACAGTACTGTATATGTTTGTAGGTTTTACTAAATGTATAAAAAATTTGTTGTCATACATACACTCATGGAGAAGATCAGATTTTTTTTTTTTTATATGTTCGCTGTTTGACTCAGAAGTCAATATCTTGTTTTCAGGTTTATTGGTTGGTTGCGTGTTGATAGAATCTCATCAGTGTGAGCGCTGTCGAGCGAAATGAACAATGATGAAATTGCTGATCGAGATATGATCACAACATTATCTCCCACTTAATGCATAATGTCATCATTTTGCCGTGCTTGGCTGCTCTTATTCTGGCTTCACGTTAAATCATCACTTCTCTGTCATTTCCTTACCCAGAACATTTTCCTGACTGATAATGGGACAATCAAGCTCGGGGACTTTGGCTCAGCGTGTATTCTGAACAGGTAGAGGAAGAGAGTGGCAGCAGTTTATAGTTTTCCCATTTTTATTTCATTTTTTTATTTGATTTGCTGCTGTTGCATTTTAACTTCCACTCTTTCATTCTTTTATTGTGTTGCAGCTCAAAAGCTTACGCTCATACATATGTTGGGACACCATATTACGTGGCTCCAGAAATCTGGGACAACAAGCCCTACAACAATAAGAGGTATGTTATGTCTGAAGTGGAGCCTTGTTTAGACATGGCACAAGATAAAATGTAAATGAATGAAACCTTAATAACTACGGATCAGTGTCCATGTTGGGAAATTGGGTCTTTGCAACAGGAAGTGTTAAATGGATAAAGCAAAGAATATATTACACCCTCCCTGTGAATAGGAACAACGTATATATATATATATATTTTAAGATGTTAATATGTACTTTACAGATGTCTATAAGATATCTACAAACTGTGCAAATAAGGATATGGACAAAATCCTGTTTGCCTACAGTTTCCCTTCAGGCCTGATTTTCTGTCACCATAGTCGGTGAACTCAGTTTTTTCATTAGGATGTTAGGAGTGTCAATCAATTCACCAACAATGAGGAATTTTCAAAACAGCGTGTTTTCTCAGCTCAGCAGTGATTATGTAACCCGTGCGTGGGTTAACCAGTCTTGTGTGTCTTTGACCCTGCCAGTACATGACGAATGTCTGGTGTGAATGAATAACAGTCTCTTATGTTTCTGTGTTCTGCAGTGATGTGTGGTCTTTGGGATGCGTCCTCTATGAGCTCTGCACCCTGCGACACCCGGTACTTCCCCCCTCCCTCTCTCTCTCTCTTTCTGTGTACCACGGGTTTGATTGTTGGCCTCTCCTCAGATACGGCCAGTGAGTCATTGTATGAAGTACTTCTGCTCTGATCTTACATCACAGCGAGGTGCTGCAAAGCATTGTTGTGGATTGATGGAGGCCGAGTATCTTCAGCTGAGCTAGATTATCTTGTGTGTATTTTTTTGTGGCTCAGATGTTGCGGTGCGGTTTGTTGTCCCAGAGATGCTCACGCCTCAACCTTGTGTCCAGTTCCAGGCATCCAGCTGGAAAAGCCTGATTCTTAAGGTGTGTCGGGGCGCATACCCTCCCCTCCCCAAACACCTGCCCTACGAGCTGCAGTATCTGGTCAAGCAGATGTTTAAGACAAACCCCAAAGACAGGCCGTCCCTGCAAACCATCCTGACCTCTCACCGGGTTTCCAAACTCCTGCGTTCACATTTTCCCTCTCAGGTAAAAAACACTTGAGCTTCCTGTGTGGTGACAGTCACTGAAGTGTTTTTATGGCTGCCCCATCCATCAGAATGACATACTGTCAGGACATGGTGTCAGAGTGAGAATTTAAACTCTTACACAACTTCCCCAGCTGTGGTGACCCCTATGTGGAATCTGACCTTTGACAAGCTGCTGTTAGTTCAGATGGCTGCGGAGCTCGTGTTATGTGTTTGATTTACAGCGCTGCTTTGGATCTTTTACAGGTGATGGAGACGGAGGAGCAGGGGAGGCGTACGGGTCGATGGAACAGAGGAGAGGGGAAGAAGGTGGTCGATCTTCTGGGAGAGAAGACTTTAATAAAAATGTCAACATTTGAGGGTAGAGTTCACATCAAAGTTAACATCATGAAATGAAGGATATACTGCGTGGTTGTCAGTGAGAAAATAAGCACAGTTTTCAATGTTTTCACCATTTTCAAACAGAAAATGATCTAAATAACCGTTCACCCCAGGCACAGAGTTAACAGAGGGTCACTGTGAAAGCAGAGAGCCCGGCCACCGAAAGCAGTGGGCCGCTGCGCCCTCAGACACTGTGCTGCAGGCGTTGGCCAATGCCAGCATCATCTCATCTGACAGCATGGCATCCACCAGCCAGGCCCTCACAGGTTCCACTCATGGATATATGATATGCAGTTTAAACATTTTTCATTTCCTGAAATGTATTTAAAAAAAAAAAAAAAAAAAAAAAAAAAAAGTTAGTTAAAGAGGTTAGTTGAAGAAAGAAATGCAGAGTCTTGTAATCCTGTTTTTTAAGGTGTGTCAGAGGAGCCAGAGGACAGCAGGCGGAGGAGACAATGGGAGAAAGATCCTCCCGAGAGGCTGCTGAGTCTGCTGGAGAAGGCCCGGCTAAGCAGAGCCTTCAGCACCTTCGTAATAAACAGAGGTCTGTTGAAATAATGAATCCATCTTTTTGTTATTTAAACACAAGAGCCTTTGCTGTAGAGGACAACAAATAAACTGAAATTACAGGATGTTTTTGTTACATTACCTAAATGAGTCATTTAAGTCATGATAGAATTATGTCAGTGCAGTAGGCGATATACAGTAAATAGCTTTTTGTGGTGCTTTGTTTTCCATTTACAGGTGACGACCTGCTGATGGGACCCCTCTCCCAGGGGCAGGGTGACGACACTGACGGTCCTGAGCCAGAGGTGGTTGTAGACGAGGACCGGCTAGAGCCGCGCTCTGATGATGAGGACACGTAAGTGACCCTGACTTCTTGCTGTGTTGCCTCATATTACCATAATTGTCTGGTTTTATTTGAATGATTTGTAGTCAATCCAAATGTAGTTTTAAAGGCCAACAGCTCTGGTTTTGCATTGGTTTATCCTCCGATGTAAAAAGCAAAGGGCTGATGTGTTGGTTTAAAGTTTTTACAAAGTGTGTAGGGGTTTGGAATGAAACAAATAAAAAATAAAATACAAATAAAATACTTTGTATGTCCTGTGTGTGTGTGTGTGTGTGTGTGTGTGTGTGTGTGTGTGTGTGTGTGTGTGTGTGTGTGTGTGTGTGTGTGTGTGTGTGTGTGTGTCATCTCTTGTATGAAAACAAAGCTAAAATCTATTGTGCTGTATGTCCTCTCTCTCTTCAGAGACTTTGAAGAAGAGTCTCCATGTGACTGGATAGAAGAAGCTGAAAAAATGTTTTCAGAACACTAAAGCCTCATCCTCCTCAACCTACACAATCATGAGGCTGCCATTGTTAATGTATACTTTACATTTGTTTAAAACACTAACAGTTTACATGTGCCAAAATCATTTCACTTGAACTGTGTCTTATTAATGAGGACCTTTTTTTTTTTTTTTTATAACAGGTAATATCAAAGATGACAAACATCCGATTAAGCTCACATAGTAACAGTTAGACACTCAGTCTTTTTTTTATATCGTTTTATATTGTTTCAAGCTCTGGTCTGATTTTTGTGAATTTGATCACACTGTTGCAAGAAAACACTAAAATTTGAATTGAATATTGTTCAACTTGTTATTGTTGCTACTTTTTTTTTTTTTAACATAAAGATGCTGAGATGGGACTGTGATGAATCTGCCGGGAACTGTTCAGGTTAACAGTGATAATATTCCCAGTGGCTCGAGGCCGTCTGGAAGCTCCTGTTTGGCTTGTCGGGGAGGCAGGAAATATTATAGACTCAGAGCAGCTGGGTCTTCATGGGGTCACCCCCCCCAACCTTTTGATGTCTATTTCCTGTGCAATATCAAAAGTAGACTAAACATGTTCAGTCGTTGGTATTCTTTGTGTTTTATTCTTTTGGTGAGACACTAACAAAGCATACATCTGGCCCACTTCAGCTTCTGTGTTGTTTTTAATTTGCTGTGACCACAACGGTGCAGACACACAGAGATGAGGGTGATGGTCGTTCCTACAGCGAATGCTGATTGTGAACCACTAGGTGGAGTTGAAAACACTGATGTGAACCTTGCAGAGTGGGGGGGGGAGTGTGAAAAGCTCCACTCTGGTTTAGATACAATTAAACCTGAACCAGAATATCTTTTTGATGTCAGATGAGTCTGTGACTGCCTGCCCTGCTTATGTGAATTTGAGAGACCATGTTGTGGGCATCATAAAGACATTTAGTATGAGGGACCAAGTAGAGCCTGCTATGCTCTGTGTTTTGCCAAATTAAAATCTCGATATGAAATAAGAGGAGAAAAGCGCTTTAACCCCGTGTGACAACAGAGAGACCAAAACCAGACCTCACCCATGGCAGTTTGGGCTCAGCAGGATACAGATACTACAAACCCTTGAGTCAACAAAACCATAATGGTGCTGATTCACCAACAGTCACACCAGGGATGGATTATCCTGCTGCCAACGTTCCTTCAGGGTAAGAAGCCTCCCATTGGCTGACAGGAGGACTCTCCACTACATGAGAGTCTTTTGTGAGATATCTGCCCATGATGTGTTTTATTGAGGAAGCTCGGGGCTGCAGCTGGCCCTTTATCTTGAAGCCACACTGAATCCCCCTCCAGGGCTCATACTCCAGCCTCCTGCCTTTTTAAAAAAAAATATTACTATATTTCCCCTTGTACCTCCATGTTCAGGAAAGATACAGATAAAGTTGTGTAGCATAGCTGAGCCACAATGATAGGATGGGAGGGTCTCCCATCAGTGTCTATGATGGACTACACAGTGTCTTAATAGTTCAGTCATTGGGATTTTGTTATTTGGGACTGTAAATAAATGTGTGAACCAACCATCAATGTATACAGGCTTAAACATCAAGAGGTGTTACGTGTTGGAAGTTTGTTTACGTACTCTTTGATCAGATATCTCCCGATTTAAATTAAAACAATTTTTTACTTTACGTAGATTTATTTGAAACGTATGTGTTGAGCAATTCTACATATTTCAGTCAATTTGAAAAAAGGGGTTGAGACATGTTCATAACCCAGCCCTAATTCCAGGTGTGGGCGGCTGGTTATTAATGACAGTTTACAGTGAGTCTGGTCTAAATGTAATGTTGACTTAAAACCTTTTGTCCGAGGATGAATAACCCCAAGCAGGGAGGCAACAGCCAACATGCACAGCTGTTGCCAGATGACATTATAGTATTTACAGCTTTTTTTCCCTCCATCTTTCTGGCTTCCACTAATAACTTGTTAATTCTTAGTGGCACTAATAAAGCATATCAGGAGATGGAGCCACCTTATGACATCTTTTATTTTATTTTACTTATTTAGCATCTGCTTGTTCGAGCGTTCTGGTTTTCCTTCACTGTCACAAACTTTATTTATGAACTGATTTTCATAAACTGCAGTTAAATGTTCATTTATATGTTTTGTCATTACAGAACAGAATCATTTTAATACAAGATTTGTCCCCCAAAAATAGCACCTTTCTCAGAAATAACACCATAAATTAAAGCTCCAGAAATGACAATGGGGCTTTTCTGACACGGTCTTACCAAAACAAAACTGGAAAATCTAAACATCAGAAGGATAGGATTCATTCCAGGCTTGCTGGTTTGGATTAAATTGCACAGCTGTTCCTGTAACTGGAGGGTCAAGGACCTGACTCGGGGGGGGAAAAAAAAAAAAAAAAAAAATCCTGACTGAACAGTTTTATTCAGTTGTACTTGAAAATATAGAGGCAAACACGCAGATGAACATGAGCTTCCTCTTGCAGGAAGGATGTGAAGTTGTGTCTGTTGTATCTCAATGGCTATAAATGGGTCAAGAAAGAAGTTTCTCTTTGAATGAATGACTCGCTCTCTCACATTGTGTGTTAACGGCAGGTTTGCGAGGTGAAAGTGGAGAATGTAAACTTTTGAAACATTTTGAATCATTTTTGATGATCCGACTCATTGCTCTGATTAGAACGTGACGAGCAAAGCGAGAAGTGAAATGTGCAGCTTGTCACTCTCAGAAGTGTTAATTCCTCTGTGACCTCACTGCGAAAGTTATTTGTACAAGTACGAACAAAATCACAACACCTAGGTGCTCCTGTACCCCCGCTGTGCGAGGAACAGCTCATACTAGAAAGAATCTGTGGAGCTGAGACACATCGATGCAGCATTTCCTCTCTGCTTCATTGTTTCTCTTACCTCACCCCCCTTTGGTTTTTAAAACATCCTGTATTTCAGAACACACTCAGAGTCACAGTGAGGTTGCCTCTTTAGCCTCCTGCACGGACATCTAATCTAGAGTGCTTCATTGATTTTCTTCCTGCTCATCCTGGTGACCTGATAGCAAACAATCAAGTGTCTTCCCCTCTTATCAAATGATGCACAAAAGGCCTTTCATTTTGTCTTTTTTTGGGGGGGGAGTGGGGGTTGTTCGCACACCTCAAACCGCAGCTTCTGTCATCACCCTTGATGAAATATTGACGCTTGTTAATCTCATGTTCCCCCTTTTGTGTGTGTGTGTGTGTGTGTGTGTGTGTGTGTGTGTGTGTGTGTGTGTGTGTCCCAGTGCCTGTTTTTGTGGCCTGCTTTCTGAGCAGCCCCCGGCTTCACTCAGGAAGAGCTCTGCAGATGCAAGATGACCCAGTGATCTCTGTCTGGCTACTGATGGTGATACTGATCTTTCACTTTTCTTATTCGGGAAAAACGGAGGGGGCTTTCTCAGCTCTATTGTGTGTGTGTGTGTGTGTGTTCGGCTACATTCAGCTACACTAGTTTATGTGCTATATTTGAGTTTTTAGGGGACATTTATAGCCTCAGTGGTTTCTACCGCACAGTGAAGAAAACAATGAAACCTGTTACCACGACTCACCCACTAAAGAGAAGTGTTTCACAGGGAGCAGCTCTTCCTGTTAATAACAAAGCACTTAGGCGCTGCAGTTGGGAGTCTCTTTGCAACTATAAATATGGGAGCTGTCATTGTTATGATTATTTCAAGCCCTCTGCAGTGACCCTCCATTGTCTGCTGCCAGTGTTTTGTTGCTCTGTATTAGACAATAGAGGCTGGTGTGGCCAAGCAGGGTTTGTCATGGAACAGCACAATTCATCAGCTGCTCAAAGTAAAAAAAAAAAAAAGAAAAGGAAAAAAAGAAAAGGTCAGGAACAGTTAAATTTGGATCCTGGGTCATGTGGTACTGTGCCAGCCCTGCGCATGTTGCCAGGCTGTTTGCACTTCTAAACGCTGCCATTGTTTGTGGATCACATGTCTGTTTACTCCTGATGGGCCGGTCCATCTTTAGGCAGGGTCCCGGGCTCTCTCTGGTGGACTGACCCCTCGCTATCCTTCCTTTAGCCAGTAATACATCAACAGGAGACCAGAGGTTCAAGGTTTTCTCTTGTAGCTTATATACACACACACACACACACACTTCCAGGACTTCTTGTTCTTCTTTACGCTGAAGATAGTTCTTAATGACTTTGGCTGTATGTTTGGGGTCATTGTCCTGCTGCAGAATAAATTTGGGGCCAATCATATGCCTCCCTGATGGTATTGCATGATTGCATATCTGCCTGTATTTCTCAGCATTGAGGACACCATTAATCCTCCATTAGCAGAAATGCAGCCCCAAACTGGCAAGGAACCTCCTCCTATGTTTTCATGCATAGTTGAGTCGCTTGGCCTTGTTTCCATTTCGGAGGTATGGCTTTTTGGCTGCAACTCTTTCATTACGACGACTTCTGGCCAGACTTCTCCGGACAGTAGATGGGTGTACCTGGGTCCTACTGGTTTCTGCCAGTTCTGAGCTGATGGCACCGCTGGACACCTCCCGATTTCAAAGGGAAATAAGCTTGATGTGTTTTTCATCTGCTGCAAGTTTCCTTGGCCGACCACTGCGTCTACGATCCTCAACATTGCCCGTTTCTTTGTGCTTCTTCAAAAGAGCTTGATCAGCACATCTTTAAAACCCCAGTCTGCTTTGAAATCTTTGTCTGGGAGAGACCTTGCTGATGCAGTATAACTACCTTGTGTCTTGTTGCTGTGCTCAGTCTTGCCATGGTGTATGAAACTGTCTTCCACAACCTCACCTTGGTAGCAGAGTTTGGCTGTTCCTCACCCAGTTTTAGGCCTCCTACACAGCTGTTTCTAGGTTCAGTTAATGACTGTGTTTTAACCTACATGTGAAATTGATGATCATTAGCACCTGTTTGGTATAATTGGTTGATCGTACACCTGACTATAATCCTACAAAACCCCTGATTTTGTGCAAGTGTATCTATAAGAATTGATGCTGTTTTGAAGGCAAAGAAGTCCTGGAAGTGATGGTATGGCCCCCACAGCGCCCTGATCGCAACATCATGGAGTCTGTCTGGGATTACATGAAGAGACAGAAGGATTTGAGGAAGCCTACATCCACAGAAGATCTGTGGTTAGTTCTCCAAGATGTTTGGAACAACCTACCAGCCGAGTTCCTTCAAAAACTGTGTGCAAGTGTACCTAGAAGAATTGATGCTGGTTTGAAGGCAAAGGGTAGTAACACCAAATATTGATTTGATTTAGATTTTTCTTTTGTTCGCTCACTTTGCAT